GCACCTTTTGACTTTTTAACCTCTCTTTCCCAGCACTCCTTGGATCACCCACTCTGGCCTTCTTTGAGGAACCACGTTTCTCATCCGCATCAACTTTTCTTTTAGCAAACTTGCGAATATTCTCTCCTTTTTAATTAGATTTTACAGACTTTTCACCCAATTCTTTCATCACCCTAGCAGTAGACTCTTCTACCAATTTATCACCAGATTCTTCACCATATTTTCACTAGCGACAGCATTATCAGACTTGTTCGAACTTTCACCAAACACAGAAGATCCCCTTTTAGGCTTGGGGAGACCATGCTTCTGTTAGCGCTTTCTAGTCAAGGAACTAGGTTCCTCTTCGACTTCATCATCCACATTCACAATTGGCACTGTTTTCTCACTCACAACTTTCCCATCTTTCACTAATTTTCTTCTCATTGACTTAGCTTGGATGTTCTTAAGCGCAAACTCAAGAGCCCCCTTCCTTTGCAACCTTGTAGTAGGTCGCTTAGGAGTAGACTCTTGAGCAACCATTGGTCTACGCCTAGTCAAGCTAGCAATTGGCATATCATCAGAATCTTCTTCACTATCATCTTTTTCTTCTCTGGACGCAGATCTTTCCTCAGTCCACACACAAAGGCTCGGCATCAAAATGAGGAGAGAGAGCAGGGTCAATACTGACCTGGGGCTCTTGAGAGGACCCCTAAGTGGGATCCTTCTGGGAGGGATCAGGTCCTCTATCGGTTCCACTGGAACACACGCATACAACAGTAAGTAAATGACAAAAGAAATTTTTAATGGAAAATTTCCAGCTCAACGGGATTAAAAACCACAACCTGCCCTTATAAGATTTCACCTTTATTACTGAGCAACTTTTAGATTACAACCTATGTAACCTAAGAATTAACCTCTTAATCTCTCACTATCTTGTAATACTCTATTATAAGTCACTTTGTAATAACTCTATTACAAAGACTTTACAGCTCGACTAACTCTAGCCAAGACTCAAACATAGAGGTTTAAGGTTTACAAAGAGTTTCTTACAGAATACTTCTAAACAAGCTAAGTAGGAATTACAATTTAAGAACTATTACAAAGTTACAACTCAACTAAGAACATACAATGACTTGTTGTGGGGAAATGGTCCGTAATAGTGTTGTTATTTGTTCTTGATACACTTGAAAATTGATTGCTCGATGATCAATGACCGTAAGAGTGCTTGAATGAATTATCTAAGTGAACAAGTGATTTGTTTTACCTTGCTTGATGTTAATAATGCATTTGTGATATCACTAGGATGATGTAAGCAAGGTAGGTAAAAGACACTCCCTATAAAGTTGACTACTACACTATTTCTGCACTGTAGCGTGTGCAGGCAGCAACTTTACAGTTGGGGCAGTTGACTTGTGCAGTTTTCTCGGGAAATGGTAGCTACCTGTTTCCTCTGTTGTTCCTTTGACTCTAAAGAGTTGAACCATATCCCAAGCTGGATCCTTTTGATCTTAAGGTCTTGAGAATGTGTAACAGGTTCCTTATCTGGTTCTTGACAGTAAGTTTGTTAGATCATCAAAACATAATAGGGATATACATATAGCCTATCAATTTCTCCCTTATTGATGATGACAAACTTATAATTCAAGTTCCCCCTAAGAACCAGCATTTCCTGAAAATTCCCCTTGAATCTGTTTCCCATCATGTCCCCCCTGAATTATTTTTCCCCCATTTGGCATCATAAAAAGATTAGTAACAGGCTTATAACAGAAAGAAGTCTATCTTGAGTTAACTCATGCCACTTGTGTGCACACAACATGACTAAAACTAGAGTATAAAGACAAAGCATAGTTAGCAAAAAGGGAAAAGCTTGCAATAGCATTAATTTGGATTTTTCAATAGGATCATAGTCAATGTTACTACCACCATCCACAGTTTTGAACAAACGGAAAAAACACCACAAACATCATCATAAAAATTGACACTGAGGGAATAGACTGATCACTAAAGACTGGACACTGAAGGGACGTTGTTTAGGGAGCACTGGAAGGAGATGGCTTAGAAAGGGCTTGGAGGACTAAATCCATTCGAGCATTTGCTGACATTTGCTCGTTGAGCAGTATCTCTTTTAGGTCCTCCACTTGTTTCCTGAGCTCTGCATTCTCTTTTGTTAGACGAGCAAACTTTTCTCCTTGAGAATTACTGGAACCAGGTGCCTCCTGCAGCTGACTTAACTGAGTCTCAAGGATAGCATTCCTTGCTTTCAATTGCCTTATATCCGAGGTAGCACTGTTCTAAGCATTGATCAGCTGAAATATGGTAGAAGTTCTTCCAACCCCTCAAATTTTCTTGATACACTCACATTCTTCAAGAGTAGCTTTGGAGAAAGTTTGCTTCTTTGTGCCCACTTTAGCTTGTCCCAGAGGAACCTTGAAGTGCTTAAAATCTGCCACTTTGTTCATGTGCTCTATCATAATCCCAGGCGGATTGATGGTAGTGAAGTTGTCCAGTGCTTCCATGAGGAACATGTCTGCACGGGAGGTGATAGATCTTCTCTCAGCTCGAGGCAGCAGTATTGTGTTCACCATCTCAAACATCAGTTGGTATATAGTAAAGAGGGCCTTCTTCTGAACCCGTTCCCCCTGCTGAACTGCTCTGTCCTTTAATATGGCATTTCTGAAAATTTGAGAACAGGATCCATGAACACTAGACAGCCCTTCAGCAGGCACACCAAGAATGGACCCCAATAAAGTAGAGTCCATTACCATATGAACTCCATTTACCAACACACAGATGTGATCATCTTCAACTTTAAAAAGGCCAGCATAGAAACTTTGAACTTCCTCTTGATACACCATTGGAGCATCATTTGTGAACAAATGTGTCCACTATTGGAACTCACAAATCTCAACCAGCTGTCTCATACCAGCCTCCTCCAAGATATCAGGGGCAAATGTGCGGCCCCATAGCACCTTTTGACTTTTTAACCTCTCTTTCGCAGCACTCCTTGGATCACCCACTCTGGCCTTCTTTGAGGAACCAGGTTTCTCATCCGCATCAACTTTTCTTTTAGCAAACTTGCGAACATTCTCTCCTTTTTAATTAGATTTTACAGACTTTTCACCCAATTCTTTCATCACCCTAGCAGTAGACTCTTTTACCAACATATCACCAGATTCTTCACCACATTTTCACTAGCGACAGCATCATCAGACTTGTTTGAACTTTCACCAAACACAGAAGATCCCCTTTTAGGCTTGGGGAGACCATGCTTCTGTTAGCGCTTTCTAGTCAAGGAACTAGGTTCCTCTTCGACTTCATCATCCACATTCACAATTGGCACTGTTTTCTCACTCACAACTTTCCCATCTTTCACTAATTTTCTTCTCATTGACTTAGCTTGGATGTTCTTAAGCGCAAACTCAAGAGCCCCCTTCCTTTGCAACCTTGTAGTAGGTCGCTTAGGAGTAGACTCTTGAGCAACCATTAGTCAATGCCTAGTCAAGCTAGCAATTGGCATATCATCAGAATCTTCTCCACTATCACCTTTTTCTTCTCTGGACGCAGATCTTTCCTCAGGCACCACCACACACAAAGGCTCGGCATCAAAATGAGGAAAGAGAGCAGGGTCAATACTGACCTAGGGCTCTTGAGAGGACCCCTGAGTGGGATCCTTCTGGGAGGGATCAGGTTCTCTATTGGTTCCACTGGAACACACGCACACAACAGTAAGTAAATGACAAGAGGAATTTTAAGTGGAAAATTTTCAGCTCAACGGGATTAAAAACCACGACCTGCCCTTATAAGATTTCAACTTCATTACTGAGCAACTTTTAGATTACAACCTATGTAACCTAAGAATTAACCTCTTAATCCCTCACTATCTTGTAATACTCTATTATAAGTCACTTTGTAATAACTCTATTACAAAGACTTTACAGCTCGACTAACTCTAGCCAAGACTCAAACATAGAGGTTTAAGATTTACAAAGAGTTTCTTACAGAATACTTCTAAACAAGCTGAGTAGGAATTACAATTCAAGAACTATTACAAAGTTACAACTCAACTAAGAACATACAATGACTTGTTGTGGGGAAATGGTCCATAATAGTATTGTTATTTGTTCTTCATACACTTGAGAATTGATTGCTCGATGATCAATGACCGTAAGAGTGCTTGAATGAATTATCTAAGTGAACAAGTGATTTGTTTTACCTTGCTTGATGTTAATAATGTATTTGTGACATCACTAGGATGATGTAAGCAAGGTAGGTAAAAGACACTCCCTATAAAGTTAACTGTTACACTATTTCTGCATTGTAGCGTGTGCAGGCAGCAACTTTACAGTTGGGGCAGTTGACTTGTGCAGTTTCCTCGGGAAACGGTAGCTACATGTTTCCTCTATTGTTCCTTTGACTTTGAAGAGTTGAACCATATCCCAAGCTGGATCCTTTTGATCTTAAGGTCTTGAGAATGTGTAACAGGTTCCTTATCTGGTTCTTGACAGTAAGTTTGTTAGATCATCAAAACATAATAGGGATATACATATAGCCTATCATATTCGAAATTATATTCATTAAAACATAAAATCCCGTATTAAAAAGGTTCAGTGTTATTTTGCTTGCTACGCAAAAGTAAATTGAAATAGATAACTGAAATAATTATACAACCTCTCCCAAAATAAGAAAACTAAAGTTTACAAAGATAATACATAGCTTGGGGAAATGGCCTTTTAACTTATTCCTGTGGCAGAACAAATGGAGAAGCAAACTGTAGGAGCTCTTTGTTACTCTGAAATATTAACATATCAGCTTCTTTCAAGGTGATTAGTGCATCTATCCCATTTCCATTGGGGGAATCCAAGAAAATGAAGTGATTCTTCATCGAATTTGTTGCTAGGGTCACTCTTATTGGCTTACCCCACCCAAAATCAATGTTATATAACTCAAAATTGCACAAGCTGCTGCACATATAAAAATCAACTTTATTCTTCTCTGGTTTATTTGTTGTCGCTTTGATTTTTTCAAGAACATGTGATGCTAGCTGATTTGGATTGTTCAACTTTTCTTGAAGATGTTTTTTTAGCTTTTCGTAGTTGAGCGACGAATTGGGGCAATTGTATCTCATCTTCTTTCACTGCTACTGAGCTAAAGAAACACAAAACATTTCCAATGGTGTTTAGGGGCAATGGGGGCCGAAAATTCATTATATGGAACAATACAGATGGTTGGAACATGCCGCAATTCGCCATTGATACTGTCGCTCCACATTTATGAAGCAGTGCTGTGGCAACTTCAACACGAGTTGGATTCTGCACTTGTGAATTCATTGCAACAATATCCTTGAGTCTGTCCAAACTAGAGGATGAGAAATGGTAGATTCTTGACACACATCGCTGAGGTTCACGCATAATATCGGGTACAACTGGAAGATCATCGATTTGTGGGAAGAAAGAATGTGCATCAAATTGAGTAGATGGTTCGAAATCCAACTCATGTCGAGCTGTAGCAGCCCAATCCTTAAGGAATTTCAAGAGACTGTCCATCAGCAATCTTGTGTGATAGGCATACACTGACTGCTATTCCACCACAATCGAAATGGCTTAATTGTATCACCAGTGGACTTCGGCCAAAGGAACTAGTCCAAGGCAAATCAGGTGGGAAGACAACATTAATAGCATCATTATAGGCGTGGTTGAGAACTTCAGACATCGGACAACTGATTCGTACATTGAGAAACTCAGCAGCTGTGTCATTGCAATCAACATATTTATAATTATCTTTGATTCTTCCGGCAAAGGGATAATAAGAGGACAATACTTTTGAAAGGGAGTTTTCAAGAATCTGGCTTGTGTTATTTGTAGGTTTGGAGTAGAAGGCGACAATTGGAGAGTATGCAGAACTGGCTATCTGATCAATGAAAGAAAGATTGTCAATAGCCAGTTCTGCATACTCTCCAATTGTCGCCTTCTACTCCAAACCTACAAATAACACAAGCCAGATTCTTGAAAACTCCCTTTCAAAAGTATTGTCCTCTTATTATCCCTTTGCCGGAAGAATCAAAGATAATTATAAATATGTTGATTGCAATGACACAGCTGCTGAGTTTCTCAATGTCCGAATCAGTTGTCCGATGTCTGAAATACTTAATCACACCTACAATGATGTTACTGATGTTGTTTTTATTGAAACTGTCAAAAGTCTCACATCGGTGGATGACAATTTTAAATGAGAATTTTACCCTATAAAAGGAGGCCTAATGTTTAGGATTTAAGTACACCTCTCATTTACCTTTTTTATCTTCTTAAGGCATTTGTATCTTCTCTCTTTAGTATTATTTCACTTGTAATTTTGGAGTGGAATAAAATATTGATTGTGTCCAAGCAAGTAGGCAAAATTGGCCGAACCTCGTAAATTCTGGTGTTCTTTTATTGTTGTCTTATTGTCTTGTTTATTATTTAGTGGTTGTCATAATTTTTGGTATAGTAGTTGTGACTCATTCACACTATATACATTTGGCTTCCGCAACAATTGGTATCAGAGCCAAGTTATTGTCTAAGTATACTCTGTGGTTGCAGCATAGTCTGATCTTCCACATCAGAAAAGATCTATCTTGATAACTGAGTC